CCCCCGCCCCCGAAAGGACTCGCTCGAAATGCTCCCAGCCGGCTTTAAAATCTTTCGGGCGGCTCCAGCAAATAACGGTAACGGGTTTAAAGCTTAAAAAGGCGTTCCCGATTTAAAAAAAAAAAATAATCCTGCAAATATTTCTAAGTGGTCCTGAGCAAACTCAAAGGAATAATCGCTACGGCACGAAATGCAAGGAATCGGGGAGAGCCTGGCTTTGGGAGAGGGGCACCGGCGGGTCTTAACGGGGGACCGGGCGCTTTCCTTGCCGGTTTGCTTATCTGCTCGTCTGGCTACGCCCCGGTGCGATTTTATGCTGTACTTAAAAATCCAGGGAAAACAAATGTTTGTTTTAAAAAAAACCCCAAACGACTGGTTGCTCTAAAGCGCATTAATTATTCAGGGTAGATCTGTATTTCCTTCGTGTCAAACGGCTAGCGCGTTCGCTCCGGGAAACGAAAGCAAAGAGCGATGAATTTTTAAAACTACATAGAAGCGCTGGAGATTTATCAGGGGGGGGAAAAGGGAAGAAAAGTAGAAGGGAAAAAACCAAAGGTGAGGACCGTCGGGTAGGAAACGGCATGCTCTAATTCTGTCTGAATGCCGGCGAGCTGCTCCGCGACGCTCCATATATTCCCAGGATTTAGAGGGGAAGCTTAAAGTCATAGAAATATAGCAGATGTTGTCACATGCTGAACTACGGAATATGTAAGATTTTTTTTTTTTTTTTAGATGCACTGTTTTCGTAGAGATTAGGGGGAAGTTAGAAAACGTCAACGAATAAGCCAAGCGAGGCTTCGGCTAGGTGTTGCGTTCAGACTATCTTTACGGCTCGTCTTTCCGTTTCTTTAAAAAATTTTACTTCTGAGGTTCAGAAAGAATCTACTTGCCTGATTTTAAGAACCATTCACGAAAAGTCAGCGTAAAGTTAAAGTAATATTTTTATTACTATTTGCAACAAGTCAGTTGTGGGGCACATAATCTGACCTTGGCACCGAAATACATTTAACATCAGTAAAACTTTTTTTTTTTTAAAGGGAGATTTGTACATATAGTTAAATAATTTTTCACTTGGTGACAACATTCAGGCAAACAAGAGAGAGCATAAGAAAAGGACTATACACGGATCGGAAAATGTACCTTTCGGGTTTCGTTTTGTAGTTGCAAAAGTCCGATTGCTTCTTTTTTTGTGACCTTTTTAAAAAAAAAATTCACATCGGAGGACGGGAGGAGAGGCTCTTCCCTTCTTCCCTGCAAGGCGGTGAGAGTTTATGCCGGCGAAAAAAAAAAGTCTGCAAGTTTGTTTTCGTTTTTTTTAAAAGGCCGAGCTGCAGGTGGGTGGCGGGGGCGCGTTGCTTTCGCCGCCTCTGTCCCTCGTCGTTTGCGTTAAATAAAAAGTTTTTGTTTGTTTGGGGGTTTTTTTTTGTTCTTTTTTTTTAGGCGCTGTTGTTGTTTACGGAGGGGCGCGGAGGAGGGGGGGGGAGTATAGGGTGTTAACCCTATAGCTTGTCGAGGCTTTTGGGATTGGTGAGGATTTCCCTGGCTAGCCTCCAGGTCTGTTTGGCAGCGCTTTCCAGGGCCGAGTGGGGTTTGCCCTGAAAGAGGTCGAGGTTGGGCAGGAAGTAGTGCGGGCAGCGCCGGCACTGCAGGCAGGAGATGAGCTGGAGGAGGATGCCGTTCAGCCGGTCCCCCAGGCACGCCTCGTCCCAGTCGGTCTCCCGCGGGTGTTTCTCGCACTCGTACAGCAGCAGCGTCTTCATGTGGTAGTTGTTGAGGGGCTGCCCGGGCAGCTCCAGGTGCCGGTCCCGCAGCGTCTTCAGCACCGAGAGGCACTTGTTCCTGCAGCCGCCCATCAGCAACCGGTTCTCGGCCTCGCCGAACTGCAGGACCCAGGCGTCGCTTTCGGCCGAGCTCTGCTTGCCCGTCAGGGAGTAGCACTCCTTGGAGAGGAGGTTGAAGCCCTCCGCCTTCACCTCCGCCACCCGGTTGGGGCCGGGCCAGGGGATGTGGGGCATGGGCCACTGCGCCGCGCTGCGCGGCCAGATCCCGGTGCACTTGAAGGCGGGCGTGATCTGCACCACGTACCGCTCCCGGATGCGGAGCTTCACCTCGCTGGTGTCCGCGATCATCTTCACCACGTCCCGGTAGCTGCACTTGTCCACGGCCTGGGCCACCAGCGTCTGGAAGCGGGAGCGGATCTTGCGGGCGGAGAGGTAGCCCGAGGCGGGGAACCTCCACCCAGAGGCACATGCTGCGCTTGCGGCCGTCGCTCAGCTTCAGCACGGCGCAGCCCGGCAGGGAGCCGTCGTCCACGAAGTTGAAGACGCCCATCTGGTTGAGGTAGAGGACCACCTCAAACTCGGTGGGCGAGATCACCTCCAGCCCCTCGTAGCGGGCGTCGATCTCGCTCAGGGAGCTGATGAAGCGCGGCTCCTGC